CCCTTAAAGGTAAAGGTTCCCTTGCTCGAAAGCCGGTCAAATCTGACTCTAGGGTTGCGGTGCTCATCTCCGTTTCAAAGCCAAAGAGCCAGTGCTGTCCGAAGACATTTCCGTGGTCATGTGGCCGACATGACTAAACACCAAGGCGCATGGAACGCTGTTACCTTCCCACTGAAGTGGTACCTATTTATCTACTTGCAATTTTCATGCAGGTTTTATTGACATTCAAATAGGGTATTTCTTTGAGGAGAGCTAAGACCAGCTAATTATATTGGAGTATAAAGTAATGATATACTTGGAATCTCCTTTGTATGTGGAAGTTGCTTAAGATACCACACGCCCTGCATTCTTGTAGATTGACAGAAAGACTGTAAATTAAACTAATTTCCCCCCATCAAGTTGCAGCTGATTTATGACAACCCTGTAGTGTTTTCAAGGCAAGAGACATTCAGAGGTAGTTTGCCATTGCCTGCCTGTGTGTGTAGCAACCCTTGATGCAAGTACTGACCGGGGCTGACCCTGCTTCGATTCGGAGATATGAAATTGGGCTAGACTGGGCTATCTAGTTCTGTGCATCTAAATGTAGTTGTACCAAAAAATAAATAATCCTATTCCTTCTAATGACTTGATGTGATGCATGAAACAGGTAGCACCCTCAACCACAGCTTGTTCTTATAAAAGGCACAATCTACAAATAAGCTCCATATTGATGGGTTTTACACAGATATACCATGCCCTGGCATTGCTTCCGTTCATTTAATTGGGGCTTATAACACAACTGAGAAGGCGTGGGCTCTACCAGCAGATCTACCAACCTTAGGAAAGGGAATTACAAATATTAGCTGGTTTGAGAAATACATATTGCATGCCAATTCGTATAAGAAATCATCCTTTCGGTTATGGAATCCAACTGGTTTTGATGCAGAACTTGGATACCATTGCATTTTTTTTTTTAAGTGCAAGCCGCCTTATACTTTCAAAATTACATTTTGGTATTTCAAATACTTTTAGCCCATCCTAAATAATACATGTGTTAGGCTGGAAAGCATTGCTTGTCTGTAAAAGGAAAATGAAACGCTGGAGCACTGACCCTTGAAGATGAAAGGTGGAGCAGCTATTTCAAATCCAGTACACCAATGTGTTGGAATAGCTTCCCCAGATTGATAAGTATCTATCCTCTGAGGTAAATGACATGACAATAATAAACAAATACAAAGCAGTAAACAAAGCATGATTGTAGGCTTGTCTCATTTGACCAAGACCAAATTTGATATGCAAATAGCTGGTGGGAGTCTTATTTTTATTATATTCTTATTTTATTTACCTTATTTATAGTCCAGCTTTCTCACGGGCTCAAGGCAGATTACACATAGTGAGCCAGTACACTCAACAAAATGGAACATTCAGTAAGCAATGCATTAGGAGTGTTGAAGTCTAGAGCCACCAGAAAGAACTGAAGCACAACATTAAGTGTTCACATGACACATTAAGCGGTATAGAAATGACATAAATGGGATCCTATTTACAATAAGCTCTACACAGCAGTAGAAACCACAATCCCTAGTCATTTATCTAAGCAAATTTGTAAAACCCTGTTGCCTGTGCACAAAGCCGTCTTGAATAGTTCCGTTTTGTATTGTTTGCAGAAAGCCAGAATGGGAGCTTTCCCAACCTCCTCAGGCAGGCCATTCCACAAGGCAGGAGCCACAATGGAGAAAGCACATGTGTGGGTGCTAGTTGATTTTGCCCACTTACAGGTTGGCACCAGCTGACTTGAGCAAAGTCGTCATGGTGGAACACAGGGAGAGAAGCGGTCCTGCAAATATGAAGGACCAAGGCCATGATGGGCTTTGTATATGATACAGCCAATAAACTTAGCTGGTGACATATGGGCAGCCAATGGAGTGTCTGCAGAATGGGAGTAATATGCATGCTCCACCTAGCTCCTGTTAATAGCCAAACCAGCTAGAGTTTGAGGAGAGACCAATATACAGTGCATTACAGTAGTCTAGTGTCGATGTCACTGTGTTGTGGATCCAGGTGGACAGGTCAGTCAGTCAGTTTTTATTCAGTCCATAACCAGCACGATTCAGTTAAAACAGTTTAAAATCTCTAGGGTTCATTCATAAAACATTTATAAACGAATCTGCACTCATATCAGTCTTATCTGAGACCCTTTGGTTGAACTGCATATAAATACTTATAAATTACATTATAGACAAATAAAATGAAATTCATCCACTGTGCTTCCTATTTTGTCTGCTTCAGTTCTTTGCTTGATCCTTACGAATTCTAAAAGCTATTGTCAGAAACCGGGCACAAATTAGAGATATCTGAGGATTCAATTTAGTTTCAATTTGTTCATTTTTAGCCAGTTAACTGGGCAGTGATTCAGGACCTCTACTGCATAACTAAAGCTACAAATGATTTGTTCTTAAGGGGTTTAAATAGAGATTGAAAAGCATGGGGGATAGATTTATGCCCTGCCGAACTCCACAATATAGTTCCTTTCTACAAGTCCAGCTGTTGAACCTGTATTCGGAGATCTGTTTAAAAGAAGAAATCATGCTGAACAGCAGATGAGTAGGGCAGGATTAATTCCCCCTTCTTGTGTTATTAAACAACTGTTAAACAGCACACCACTGCTGTTTAAACAGAGCTCTACAATTCTGTGTAATGTGCATGTCTGCCACTGGATTGGGGCCAGTTAACTTTTATAACAAATATTAATCACAGCACTTTTTAAAAAAACCTCCATATGGATATTAAAAAAAGACTTCCAAGATATTTTTATTAAAGTTCCATGCTGCACATGAACATACAAATGAGGAGAAAAACAAAATCATGCACGTTTCTTAACTAGAACAGAACAGTATTTTGACAAACTAATAACAAAATAGAAATCTGGTCACTGAAATCACAGTTTGTTTGTTTTTTAAGATTTAAAAAACTGCAGGTCTGTGTTGCAACAGAACAGGATTCGCTTATACATAAGGAAAACCCAATGCTGGGATATAAAATAAACCACCCATCTTAGAAAAGTTTTATTAGGCTATGTAAGGAATTTTCGAAAAGGACAAAATGCATTGTTACATTTTCCTGTGCAATTCCAATTCATTTCAAGATAACCAGTGCAAGAGAAGTTCATGATGAATTGTGCCCCAAATGTTTCTGATATATTCAAGACATACATTATGGTCCACTTTTTAAGAATTCATATATTACTTGGATTTCATCACAGGTTATCTGTTATTGGAGGGACCATATGTTACCCTCCAGTGGTTACAGAACACATTCTTTTCCTTCTAAAAAAATCTATCCTCACTGTTCCAATTTCCAATAAGAAGCTATATTTTGATGGAACACACCCACACATCCTAAGCAAGGGCATGAATCAGCCTCTCCTCTCCACCAGGAGTCAACTGAGCCCTCCCTCCCTGTCCTCCCTTTTGCCGGTCCCTAGCTTTGTGCTGAGGAGACTGCCATAGACCTGACTGTTAATCTAAGCAAGAGGTCTAGTATAGGTGCAGCACTGCTTTGTTAACCATAGCTCAGAGAGCAGGAGCAGATCATGGGCTCCCTTACTCCTCCCCTCTTCGGAACAATTGCACACTCCCTTTGCTGCCCACTGCTAAGCATGGCTTCACATTACTGGTGCAACAACTGAAATCATGATTTACTTATAAACTAAGGCTGAAATTATGAAGTGGATTTTCAGACCACCCATTTGAGAGAAGCTCATTTGCAATGACAAATATTTGCAGCAGCGCACAGGTAACACGAAACCACAGTTAATACTGGAATGGGAAGGGGTTTGGAGATTGGTCCTGCGAAGGGAAGCGTGCAAAAGGACAGCTCTTCATCATTTTTATGGGGTCCCTGATGTTACATCAGCACCAAGCTAAAGGAATCCAGTGGCCTGCTCTCCCCAAACTCCCAAGCAAATGTTCTTCATTTTATTGCTCTATTCACAGATATGTTTCCTTGGCTAAGGAGTTATCCCTTCATTTATTTTTATTTGACCATAATCCATACAAAGGGCCACTTCTCCAAACACATTAGCCATCCCTTCATGCAGGATGCCTGATCTTAATATAAGATGACAAGACATCATCGCTTTGGAGTACAATCCTTTTGAATATATTATTCAAAAAATTACAGGCATATAAACAAAGAAAAGTACATTCTTAAGGGAAGCCCATAGATTCTGACATTACTTGTAAGAATGTTCAACGCACATGATTTGACTATTATTACAGTATTCATCTGTAAAAACAATGATCTCTGTTTCTTCGGTATGATCCAGAGCTTCACTATGCACATCAAATTCAAATGCACATGTAGGAGTCCCCATTTTTTTTCTACAATGGAGAATGTCCCACAGATATAATGGGGAATTCCCACTGCATGCACAGAAAAGATAACGGGGCAGCACTTGAATGCGTAGAGATCCATATGGACCCGAGAGCTCCCATATGCAAGTTAGAGCCACTAGACTGTTCCAATTGTGCTTAAAGACTGTAAGCTGTGAAGATGAAAAGCCTGTGACAAATTATTTTATAAACCAGCAATAAAAAAGAAAAGCAATAGTCAGTTAATTTTTTTAGGTGGACAATTAACAGTTTACTGTATTCCTAACACAAAGTTGTCAGTGCTTTTAATAAGACACTTGCATATAATGCACCTTCAATTCCTTCGTACACATGCACATAAGAAGAATAAGGCGGAATGGGTGGGTCAGAGAGGGTGCAAGTAAAGCCTCTGCTGTCAGAAAAGCTGGAAACACAGTACAAATCCATTAAAAAATTAAAATACTGTCAGTTTTGCATATCTATTGTAAAGATTCTTGAGGTAATACTGATGCTTCAAAAAAAACAAAAAAAAACTCCCACAACCTGTAGACTGTTTTTTTTATTGCTGAATGTCACATTAATACTGGACTTGAGACACAGTCTGCTAGCTACGTATCTCGTGTTGTATGTCCCTGAAATGAACGGGGACTTTTGCAAATCCCATTACTTTCTGATGGGATTTCCACGAGAGAAGTTCTCTTCATACTGTGCCACGGACCTGCAACCTGCTGCCCTCCAGCACCTTTTGAGAACAATACCGAGGAATATACTTTCATCACCGCCGTTCCTAAATCCTACAGACATCACACAATGCTCTAAGCCAATGAAAAACAGCCATTATAGAAACAATGATTTCAATCCAAACAAAACCAAGCCACGCCACATTACCACCCCTTTTAACTGGACAGAGATTAATAACATTATCAGAGGTGAATAGAAGTTTGAATTTCCCTTTTTCTTGATTCCACTTCATGGATTTAAAAAACAATAATAATAATAATAATAATACCATCAAATTCTAGGATTCCTAGTTTCTAGGTAAAAACTTAACAAAATCCTTATGTCCATCATAAATAGTTGCAACCCCTTCCCTCCCCCACTCATGTCCACAGAACACAGGGTAAAGTGCGGTCAGAAGCACCCTGGAAGCCACCTTGTTTGGCCTGTGTTTCTGTCAGATGCGCAGCTGGTAGCCTACTTCGTTCAGCGTAGAGAAGTCACCCACCTTCTTATCCATTACAGCTGGCCTAGGATCAGGAAGAGAAAAGAACGTGAAGGTTAAAGCTGAAAGCTAAATAATTCCTCAGAATTAAACTACTGCCAACAACAAGCTAAAGCTGTATATCAATTGTTTCTTGCCAAGTTGGTAAGTAAATTATGATGCCGTTACTAATGCACAAAACTGTCTCAAGGGGCTGCAAGCAAGTACCAAGGTGTAGTCATTAGAGTGATTCTGGTCTTGAGGCCTGCATGGCTGTGTTAGTAATGGGAGCTATCATGTGTCATCATGCCATTCCCACTAAATGAATAAACTCTCTGCGAATAACATCCGGGCCCTGCAATTTTGCAGGGATGTTCCACCAGGCGTTCGATTGAGGACAGCAACGGTTTCCATCATAGCTGGCACGCCTGTCTTCCTACCTCTGCCCACCCCCCACCCCCCGCGTGCAGGGCAGTGGCATAATTGGTAGTCTTAGCATCATTTTATTAGATTAGCATCATCTTATTAGATTGCTTATCACATTTTACTGGATTTTATTGTTTTATTGCTAATTAGCATGTCTACTTTTATTATTGTACACAGCCCTGAGCCTTGTTTTACAGTGAAGTGCGGCTTAAAAGTCTAGATAGACAGGCAGAGGTAAATAGGTTGTATGAAAGCAGTCCAAGAACTAATGCAAAGACAACCAGTGGACTTTGGCACTGGTGAGGTAAACTATATAGAATCCTAAATCTAGAAAAGAATCCTTTCTTTTTCACTTTTAGGTCCAGATTGATTTACCAGGAATAACAGTTGCCAGCCATTCCCTGTAAGCCTGAGGAACAAAGGTTTCATGAGAAAGTATGTTTGTATGCCTTTTATCAGTACACAGCTTAAAAATTCTGTTCATCATAAAATCAAGAAAGTTTCTCTCAGAAGAATAGATTTTGTAACAAATTGAGACCTGCTGGTAAAACACACTTAGAAAATAACCAGGTAGGATCCTCCAGCAATTCTGACCTCTTGTGAGAATTTTTTGAGAAGCCTACCAAAGAGACAACTTCTTTGCCAAAGATCATCCATCAATGGACATATTCACAGGAAACCAGTGCATTTGTCATATGACTGGCATATATTAAGCATATTTACAAAGGATAGTTTTGAATACACAACTGAACAGCACAAGTAATTAGAATACAATACACTGAACAATAAGTGTCTTGGATCCTTCCAAAAGTCAATATTGACAGAAAGATTTGACAGCACTGCATGACTTTTCAACCTTCCTTCTCCTGCTGCGGCCCCAAATGTCCCTCAAACGCTGCTCCTGGGGGACACGGATCTCCCAGGAAGAGCACGAGGAGGGAGTCAGTATTTGCTGTGGGAGTGGGGGAACCGAGGAAGATCACCCTCCCTTGCATGCACCGAAATGATCAGGGGGATCCAACCCAGTGTTTGAAAGGAAGGAATACTTGAAACACTCTAGATAAAAAAAGAGAGACAGGTCATAACAAAACTGCCTAATAACCAAGGGTTAGGATGAAACAGAGTACAGATAGAAGTTAGAGATGTTCCAGCGAACTAAGGAACAAGTTTCTCTTTCAATTAATCTGGAGAGTAGCCAGGCTGGTCCATATCTTGAAAATCTTGTTGGTCTCTTAAGGTGCTACTGTGCTTGAATCCAGAAGTTAATCTGGACAGGCTGAAGAGGAGGGACAACTCACACCAAACTAGAGCTTTTTGTCTCTTTCTGCAGAGAGGTGACTTGATCTCAACTAGCAGCAAGCCATCTTTTTTAATCAAGCCACTCGTTTTTCATTAAAAGATCTTCAGAAAAAATTCAGTACGTTTTACTACAATTTAACCCAAACACACTGCCAAGGTTCCCAAATTAACAACTACTGACTCTTGCTTTAACCCATATGCGCCAACTCCGACGTACTACCTAAAATTTCCCATTGTGCATTTAACTCTGGCCACGCCTATATACTCCGAAAAGCAAAAGATTAGAGTAAAAGCCAACCTAAAGTAAGCCAACAAACCACAGCCTCTCCCCTACCCCAGAGGTACTATTTGTGTTGCTGAGGTTTTTAAATGCCTTTGCCACTTGAGGAACCCCAGTCTGCAAATCACTCTGACCAGCCCCACCTTACCAGGAAGTCTCTTATTCCACAACAGGTCTGTCAGCCTCTTGACTGAAGTACCTCATAATTCCTCCTCCTGAGTCATTCCCATACTAACTGAAAAGTGCACAAATGTATCCCCATCACAGTTGCCAACCTCCTGGTGGAGCCTGGCAATCTGAAATTATAATTGATCTCCAGATGACACCGATCTGTTCCCTTGGAGAAAATGGCTGCTGTAGAGAATGGATTCTATGGAATTATACTATGCTGAGGTCCTTCACCTCCTCCAAATCCCACCCTCCCCAGGTTCCACCCCCAAATCTCCAGGAATTTCCGAACCCAGAACTGGCAACCCTAACCACATTTTAAAAACAACAACCTTCAGCCCTCGCCTGCCCTATTATCATATTTCCCTGCTACCATAATCAATTGCTTCCTCCCACTCAGACACATTTCAGTTATCTACCAAACGGAGGCCAATATAAGCGTCACATTTAGTTATGAAAGGGTACAGAACCCAGGGTGGGGGAGGGGAGGGGCTATAACAGCATAGAAAGTAACTGTGTGATCTTTACCCACACTAGCATTATCATAGGGGTGTGGGAAGCAACCATGGGGAATCAGCAGCCTCATCACTCTCTGACACACCGGCCACGATCAACCACTTCCTAAAATCCGGACCTGGTGAATATCCCCCCCCCCCTTCCATGCAGCAAAGGAGTCTCCATCAGGAAAGAAGCTGACAATCCTAAGGGAAAGTTCTGTGGCTCATTTTTCTATAGAGGCATTCAAAATAAAAAATTACCTCTTTTTTTCTTGGTGAACATTAAAGGCATCAATAGGGTCACCAAGTTTCCTGAGATACAGACTCTGAGATAAGTGGTGCCTGAACATGGGATAGGCTCTAAGGGTAGAGTTGGGCAATTTACAGCAGGTCAGGGATGGAAGAATGAAATAGAATGTGCAGAAAAAAGTTCAATCCATGTGTTTTGTTGGCCTATTTTTTAAAGGAATGGTGAACACCTACCTCTTATGATTACACATGGAAGCCTGTGAATTGCCAATTTTCTGTTGTTAACACTTGCACCTGTTCTATAATATATATAGGCAAATCCACTGCCAGCAGTCTCTGGTTCCGTTCAGACGGGCAGCTAATCCCACCATTAGCCCGGCTCTAATTTGATCCTGATCTTTTTAATCCGTCGTTGCACGACCAGACAGCCCCCCCCAGTGAATTGTGTTACTGTGTGCTGCCTCCGCTATGGATTGTCTAGACAGCGTCCACTGAATAAGGCACGTGCAATGGCTTTTTTTAAAAAACAAGTTTGCGCATGCGCATAGGCGTGATATCGTGGCCTTGTTTATCCGTGCATGTGCAGAATCAAGATTTTTTTTAAATGGCGCCCGAAAACTCCAGATTTTAACTAGTACCCTTTTAGTATGGCTCCGAAGCATGGCAAAACAGGATGCTCACGGAAGATGGACATTTCCCAGATGTTGATGTCTAGACATTACATTTAAATCAATGAGGCACTCGAGCCTCACGCAGATCTAAAGAGCCGTCTGATCAGACTCTATATGATGAGACTGAACATGAATGCAACAAACATGAGACAAAGAAGAGCCTTCAGTAGCATATGATGGGGCAGGAGTTGAGGGAACAACAGGGGCGTTACCAGCACGCAGGACTCCCTATTTTTCGTCTGTGAAGTGCTGTAGGGGAGCTTACATTAATGCTGCCAGCCAAATTACAATTAAAGAAAAAACAATCCAAAAGCATACTTTCCGTGTTAGATCTGCAGAAAACCATCATAAGTTGAAGCACACTTTATTACTGTACTCACAACACATGATTTGCAAAACTTCAGATACTATCAAATATGAAGATAATTAATTTTCTTAAGTGACATTTTCCAGGCAGTTGCAGCTGTGGGCTGTTGTTACTTCCAGTTCTCAAGACTAATGACAAAAAAAATGTTGCTGAGTTTCTTAACCATAGAATCAGGATGTCAAATTTCAGTGTGAGACAAAAACGGGGGGTGGGGGGAAACATTATTTCCCCCTAACTAGAGATATATGTATCTGATTTTGGGTGTTTGTGTGTGTATGTGCGTGTGTGTGCGCACATACACACACACAAATCAGATTACACTTTTAGAGCAAAGGTTCCACTTTGCTTGTGATACCAATACTGGAGATAAGTTCTATACATTTTTATATCTCTCCAGAATTCTGCATTTTGATCAAAGAATCATATAAAGAAGCATCCTAACATAGCAGACAAACTGAATGCTGGAAGCTGAATGACTCTTCCAGTTTCCCACTGAATAGTGCCACATGCAGGGATCCCCCGTTCTTTCTATTGCTCCTCTACCAAACCAAAAGATCAGACCAAAGACAAAGAAAGGTTCATTGGTATATCACTAAATGTCACACACGACTGTGACACACACACACACCCTCGCCCCCACTGTGCGACAGTGCTTGGGGGATTGAGTGGAGAAAGGTGGGTTTATTATTGGTTCCAGCCTACAATTGCTGTTGGCTTCTATTCCCAGTTTCCCAACAGCCTTAATTGCTCTAAATATGTTGCCTGTCATCAGCCAAGAGACAGACCATCTCTATAGCAGAGCTATAGTCTCCCCAGGTCCATGACGTGAGACAAGAGATGGGTTGTTCTGCCAGATTTTGCTGATCTGTTGCATATCTTCTAACATGTCACAGGCAAAAACAGGAACATTGTTATGTACTTTTAACAACTTCTGGTCTTACAAGATGTGAGCAACGCCATATGTTGTCAGGGTTCTTATCTACCTGCTCTCAACACCCGACTGATATACTCCACGGCAGCCTATTCTGCACTAATTTAAAAGCAAAGAAAATAATTTGGGGATGGGGATGTAAAGATATACCAGAGAAA